CCAGAAATTATCGCATCAGTTTCCGTTATCAGATTTCATGAGATAGGTCACGCACTGTAGTATCGTTAATCGGAGCACGAAACTGCAAAATTTCCAAGTGGTTGTTCAGCAAACTTCGTCCACTTACGAGGAATTGAGAAGTTTCCAATGAGAATTCAACAGAGTTTATAGAGAAATTAAAAGGAATCACAACTTCTACTGATGAAACGATGGTCTCCTTCGATGTCGTTTCCCTCTTCACATCAGCACAGCTAGATTTAGCAAAACAATGCACAGAAGAATTATTGATGTCCTTAGTTCGTGCACCCTAAGGATAGTGTTAACTATCTGGACAAGGAAGAAATGGTTTACAAGATCCCATGGAATGCATGTGATGTCGTCTATTGCGGTCAGACTGACAAATGCGACTCTACACGCATTCGCGAACATCATTTAGCAGTAAAGAGGCGAGACCCGTTTGTCTCAAGTAACCATGCCCACCCTGGACGCCGGGCACACCTTCGCTTGGGAGGAAACTCTCATTGTCTATGTATGCCCTTCCAAGAAACGTCGAGAGCTCCTCGAGGCCATGCACTCAGACGAATCATACATCAGTCAGCACATCGAGTTGGATGCCGCGTACAGAAATTTCCAGGATAAATTGAAGAAGCCGAAGCCAATCATAACAGGCCGATACACAAAGCGGCCGCAAAGTGGCACAAACGTTATGCCATTATCGACTTTTAAAGCGCACTTAAGATGCTAAATGTGTTGGCACATTAGCTCTCCGTCTGTGTCTGATGATGACCAGGGGGACCGGCATCGTCAATTTGCACAATAAACTTCCTTTTCCCAAAGACCAAATTTGACTTCAACTTATATTTCATGGGATGTCTACATTCCAACAAATATATGTGTCTGGTCTGTTGCACCCATAGTGAGCTTCTTGATGTCTTTTTTCCCCATGACCAGAGGGACGAATTTGTCTGAGATTGATTTTCTTTTTTCGCGAAGCTTATTTGGCCAGAAAACGTCTTGAAAATTCGAGACATGAGAGTGATAACACGACGATTTCAACATCGATACGATAAGTTCTGAAGCGCAATTTAGCTTATTCGGTAACTTTATAGCTTAGGTCTTGGTTTCAAGGAAACGTGGTGTTTCGTACTTCTAGGGAGGACACGTTAGAGGAGTGCTAAAAAGCCAAAGGCATGATTCCTCTTCTTCACAATCACAGCATTGCACCACAACATTTGAGTAGACTAATTCAATTAAACGTTCGCTGCTACATGTGCGACAATGTGGGCCAGTTAATTCATAATATTCATTGACATGTTTGGAAATTAAGTTTTCCCTGAGATATATCCATGCACAATATAATAGACAAACATCCAATTATTTATTTGCTCATAAAGGATTTTTTGAAAAGAACGAGTTGCCATATACATTTTTCTGTTATCCCAAACAAAATACCCAGAATTTGAATTTAGACTACCGTGGCCACACTGAACCCCCACGATCTTCTGCTATGAACAAAACTCCAGTATAGAAAATATTGACATTGCTGATATGTGAGCATCTGCCACTTGTAGACAGTAAAATGAGACATGTATGTCAGTGCCATCTTTGCCACAGACCGACCACATTTGCGTCAAAGTAATCTTGTTCAGAGAACAATGATCGCTTCTCAGCTAATGTCAGAACAGGTACTGATAAAGTTGAAACACAAGAGCAAGAGCCCGTGCTTCTATTTTGACGCTTAAAAATTTCCACCAAATGCTAGCCAACCTTTCCACCCGATGTGAACAGTACTCATTGTGATTGTTTTTAGCGAAGCCCATTTCTCAGTGTGCTCCAAAGCTCGTGAAACGTTCACTGAGTGGAGTTTCTCACGAAAAAGATAACTTAAGTAAAACTGAGAACTCCACTGACGTGTAGCGTAAGCCAAAGCATCCCCACAGACAGTAGAATAAAAGCCGATTTTTGAGCCTCTTTTAAGTCGTCAGTATAAAAAACTATTATTTAAACAGCAGCTGCTTCACTTCAAAGGGTAACGAGATTATCGAGTTAAACGGCTGCTGACTTTTACTAGTGTTAAAACGTTCATTTGATGGCTCCTAGAGCTTTTCATATATTCTCTGTTTTTTTCTGTTGTCCACAAAGCGTTTCTATCCCCTTATCATGCTTGAAATAGTGCAACAATTCCTGAGATCATTGAGAACTACAAGATTAGTTTAACGTAAAATGCGCGGCATGTTTTTGGCAACATACCGGAAAAGTAGTCACGCAGTCTTTATTTCGGAATAACCAGCTATATAAAAACTTTCGAAAGTCGTAAAAACCCCTTGATTAAAATGTAAGGTTTCAGAAGGCAAAAGTTCCTGCAAAATAATTTTAGAAAGCAACCTTTTGACACCGACTTAAGCAAATGGGGTTACATGATTAAAAGCATATAACAGCCATCGAAACATTGTTTAAATAATTTTTTTTCAGATGACTAGAGACATGTCCAGTCAAAAAAACAGTTCGCTAACAAAAATGTAGTTAGTTGACTGTAGGTTTCAATTTGATTAGTTTACCAACCCAACCGAAATGACGTTGAAAGTATGCAAACGGATGCCTGATAATGCCTTTCGGCGTAAACTATCTAGTGTTTAGCTGTTGCCTTCTCTTCCCTACAGTTCGATTTCCACCATCGACGTTGTCCGCCGTATGCTCCACGGTTAGAACTCAGCACCGGTGAGTCGCCTGAGAATAAGTTTAGAGTGGGGCAGACTTACACGGGATCTACCTCACTCGCCCCTAAACCGTCCACGGGATCCGATAGAAGGGCAATGTTATGACGATCGGAGGTGGGTACAAACGCAGTGGCTGACAAAGCTAAACAGCCCGCCCACGCGTGCCTCATAAAATCCGGCCCCTACAGCATGTACCCGGCTGTTGTGCGGGTGGGAATATCATACAGGCTCCACTAAGAAGGGGCTATTGATATCGGCTGTCATTCCTCCCCCAGACACCCCACGTATACATAGTACTAATCAGGAAGACCGAGTCACCCAATCAGCTTGCAGACCTCCGAGCCACGACTCGCAGCGTCAATTGCGTCAGATTTATTATTAGTGAGGAATTCACTAAAGTGTCGAGAAAATGGATTCTCCGAGATCGACCTCACTGTCTCTTTCCTCTCCCATGCATCAGCCGACTGTCCGAGCCTGCCAACAAACTGGCGATGAAATTGGGCGCAATGGCTGACCGAGTTAGACCGCGTGTATACGTGTGCCAAATGCGACCGGACCACTTAATTTCCCAAGATACCTCAGAGAACATGGAAGTGAGATGTGCTTGTTCTGGTATGTGGCGTTACGCCTGCCATACCGGTGATGGCGAGGTGGATCACGTGCCTGCTACTGCCGGAAGGAGGTGGGAATGTCAGGGGACTGAGGTGCGTGGTGTAGACGGGTTTCATATGTAGCCTGGGGATGTGCGTGCGGGCAGGTAGGATACGGTGTTGATGGGTTATCGAATGCGGTGTTCATCTAAAATTTGCCTGGAACCGCGGTGTCCAAATGTCCTGAGGCAGTGTGGGCAGTTGAGGCCTGTATAACAGCGGCATGACAGGGCTCCAGACTCTCGTTCGGCGGGCCTATTGCAATCAGTGCTCGGAATGCACGTTACCGACGTGGCCACGATGGCAGGGGCTCGGCGTTGGCGTCACTGGTCGTGGGAATTTAGACCGCGAGCCTCCCTTGTTGCCTCGGCAGCGGATTTTCGGTTGGTTTCGAAGATGGCTTCATCATTCTTAACGTCAGCGTGTCATCTCTGCCAATCTTGACCAAGGGCCTCTCAAGTCTCCGGGTTGAAACGCGAGTGCTTGAGGGGGGTTTCCAAGGTGTCCTTGTGGCACTGCTTTTGTCCGCCTTGTCAACGGTCATCAGTTGGGACGTCGTCGTAGAACAGCCGCTTGGGCAGACTGCTGGCCATCCGTCCCCACGGGGTGGTCGCGAATTGCAGTTGTATCTTCAAAGTATGGCTTACATACTGAGTACGCTGGTTCTTTCCGGTCTTTCGCTGTCTGGCACCCCGTCCCGCCACTCCAACTTCCGCATTCTTCAGAGACAGCTGGCGTGAAAATTGTTGAGCCTTCTTGCGTGACTTTCACACACAGTTCGAGTCGCTGTCAGGACAACAGCAATATGCACCCTCAGTTTTATGTTGGGTGAGATGTCGCGGTGGTTCCAGGTGGAGTATTGCGCCGGCCTGGCAACCTAGAGGCAGGTGGATTGGATTGTTGTTAAATGTACTTTTTTGACCGCATGTGTTGCGTTCGCAGACAACGGCCAGCTTACCGACAGTGTGATTTACTAGGAATTTTTAGGGCATCGTTTCCAGTCTCTTCCACCGTGAGCACTGGGGTCCACAAATGGGACTGCAGCTGCCGAATTGCACTGTCTTTCACGACTTTTGTTTGGCAGGATGCCAACTGGAAATAGCTTGGGTCGCATACAGGATTGCATTTCGCTCTCTTCGTAAAACGTTTTTGTTTGGGGGTGGGGAAAGGCGTCTGGGAACTAGCTCAGGAACTATTGGATGGAAAAGCACACATACGACGGGTAGATATGTCCGGTTTTGCTCGCCGGTGACAGGTCGACCGTCGATTCCGACAATGTCCACAGCACGGTGGGAGCGGGGACGGTGATTCACGTGGCATCTACCGCATTCTCACATCCTCTTCCGCTCGAGTCCAGTATCATGACAGACTCAAGAATACCGGAGGCGGGAGAGACGCAGGTAAATGGCGCGGCGTGGACCCGTCCCTATGCGGGTTACCACACCTTTAGGTCCACGCACACAGGACCGGGAATTTACACAAAATGAAATGAGAGGCGGTTAGGACCTCAGCTGAATGGGGGTGCCATAGAGGCCACGTTAAGAAAGAGCCATCGCGGCCCGATTCTCAGCCCAATAGTCGGCCACACAACGCACAAGCACACTGGGCTTATTGGGAGGTCTGAGTTGAATCGTCAGTTGGTAACCTTCCAAAGCATGGCTTTTAGCGCGCTGCGCACTTGGCTGAGTAGGCCAGTGAGATGTCTGAATGGGCGTAGACAGTGCGGGCAGTTAAGGCTGTGGCGACGGGTGCAAGCCGGGGCTCCCGGCCCTGGCACGCTCTTCGCAGTGCGATTGATTCGCAAGTGACCGACTAGGTCGATACTTGAGGTGAATACCCGATCTCGATGAGGACAGGTTGGAATGACGTCCATATTGCTGGTGGTGGGGACGGTGATGGTGATTGGCGGGGCTTCGGGAGTGCACTCACCGGTGGCGGGAACAAGAGAGGTTGTAGCCGCTGTCGTGGGTATAGTGGCAAGGATGATGGTGATAACGATGATCGACAGCGACAGGGTATCGGCAGTGGTGTCACCGATGGTGGGGATGGTCGTCGTCGTTGACGCCTGGGTGTTGGGGCAGAGTTGACGATGGGGGCGTTTGTGTAGGCGGAGGGTGGAATTGTCGGCTTGCTGTTGCATTGGGTTCGGAGATGTTCGACGGGACCCATTCTTGCGCAGAATGTACGTTGGCAATGAGGGAATGTTGGAATGGTTTGGCGTTGCGAATCGGTGGCGTCTGTGATTTGAGGGCCGCTCTTTTGGCTTTGACAACGATGATCCGGTTGGCATCGTAGATTGCTGCCCCAAGCTTCACTGCTCTTCTCCAGGATAATCAGTGCTGTGGCTGTTCTTCCCAGGTTTTCGGGTTAGTTTGTAAGCGCTTCAAATAAATTTCTAAGGTGTCCTGATAGCGGCATGTTTGACCCTGTCGGCGAGCACCCGTAGCAACATCTGCGCGGAAGAGTCATTTGAACAGCCTGCCATCGTTCATACTCATGAGGTGGCCACTCTATCACAGTTGCGATTGGCGCAGCACGGCGTGGATGCTGAGAATTCCGGTGAGTCCCAAAATGCCTTTGTTGGGAATCCTGTCCCACCACCTTAGTTTTAGTATCCGTCGGAGACAACTGAGATGAAAGTGATTGAGTTTCCGTGTTTGTTTCTGTGGACTGTCCAGGTCCCCGCTCCGTACATCAGTGTTTTCGAGATGACAACTTTTTACATTTAGAGTTTGGTATCGAGATAGAGACCGTGGCGATTATGCACTGAGTCCTGCGACCGGCGGAAGACCAGGTTGGTTTTGGAGATCCAGTAGACATCTCCGTCATCGACTTTGATGCTACGTGAGAGCGTGTTGCCTAAAAAGATGAAATCGTCCACGGCTTTGATTTAGGTGCCGTGAAGTGTAACGAGGGGTGTGGTATTCAGTATCGGGTGACGGTCAATGTACAACCCCCGTTTTGTCCATGTTGATGGTCAGTCTGAACATGGAATAACCGGCGGCGAAGAGGTCCATGCTCCGTTGCACATTTGATTCTGCCACTATTTTGAACGTGCAGTCGTTCGTAAAGAGCAGACTGTGGGCAGTATTCGTGGAGAGACGTGTTGGGACTTACATGTGCCGGCTATTAAGGAGATGGCCATTAGTTCTGCAGACGACGAGGATCCCGAAGTTCTCATCACGCTAGGCGTCCATCGGTATAGCAGAAAACATGAGGCTAAAAAGGAGGGGTACGAGTATGCAGTGTTGCTTCAATCCGTTGGTTATTGCGAACACTTCTAAGACTGTCCCGTTGCCTGGAATGCACTCTATCATCCCGCAGTGGATCTGACGCATAGACGCATGAATCGCTCAGGACAGCCAAATTTCAGCATGATTTTCCACAGCCCATCGCGATTAATCGTGTCGAAGATTTCCGTCAAGTCCACGAAGGTATTGTAAAGATGAATCCGCATGTCCTGGAATCTCTCTTGCAGCGGGCGGGCGGCGTAGATAATTTCGGTGCTTCCACGGTCTAACCGGAAGCCATGCTGGCTTTCTGGGAGAAGTTTTTGTTCAAGATGGCCATCGAGGCAGTTAAGGACGATGCAAGCGAAGATCCACCTGTTGATGTTTAGTAACCAGATTCCTCTGTAGTTAGTACAGAATTGCCAGCTCCTTTTTAGCTTGTAGATATGGACGATAGTGGCGTCCTCGAAATCCCTAAAACTTGTCCTTGGCCGTGCATCCCCTGGAATATTGTTGCTAATTTGTCCATCGGAGAGACCGCCGTCTCGGCAGGGATCGCGACGCTCTCCCGCTGGGGAGTTGTTTCACGAGTTAGATTGTTTCTGAGAGGGATGGCGCGAGGCCCAGAGTTTTGCTCATTTCCACTTGGTGAGTTGGTCGATGGTGGTGTCAGGCACTATAGATGGACGGTTGAGGACACTACTAAAGTCCCCCACTCAGCACTTCAGAATCTGCGATTCCTCCGTGAGTAGAGTTCTTCTGTTGGGGCCGAAAAGCGGCGCAGTTCCTAGGGCTTCCGGACCCTAAGCCGTCTAAATTGATGCTAAGAAGTTGCTTGTTTCATTGTGAAACATAATACTCTTGGATCTCCTCGGCCTTGCGATCCTCCCATCTGTCCCGAGTCTCACGCAGACGTTGTTGCACAAAGCGTCAACATGTGAAGAATGCCGCCTTGGTTGCGTTGCCGTCGTCAGACCAGTCCTGCTGTTGGCGACTTGGGCGTCCGAAGACATGCTGGGCAGAGCAGAGGATAGCATTCCACATTTGACACCAGCGAGTCTCCGCGGTGGCGTCATCGTCTGGAGTCTGCAGGCCTTTCAGCCTCTGGGTCCGTTGATTGCTGAAGTTGGGGCGGTGTGCATGCAGATTTAATAGAACAGTATTTAACTTACCTGATGGCCGCTTATCTTGTGGTATTCTGCGTGGTTGCTGTCGTAGCCTCATTTTGGAGATGACGAGACGGTGGTGGGTCAAGCCGTCGGCATCGTAGATCGCTTTTGTCACAGCAACGTCTGCTTGCAGACGGGAACGTAGTTCAGCGGGTGCCTGCGCCGCGATCATGGGTGCATTCAGGTTGCTTTCTCCCGCATCGGAGGGTGGAAAGTGTTGTTCAGGGAACGCCGTGTCCTGCGCAAGTTCGCAGAAGGAGGGCGACGTTAGCATGGCAACCGCCAAGAGCTTGGGGACTCGTCATTCCCTCCATGGCAGCGAGATCTGTCCCTGCGCGGGCACTGAAGTCGCCAAGGGCAGCCAGCTTGTCCGCCTTCGTCTGGAGGGCAGGCAGGTCTTTGGAGCTGGTCATTGGGGGCGCGTAAGTGCTGCCGACTGTTGCAGATTTGACTTCCCAAAGACGCAGGTGCAGTTTCATGAGACGGTGGTTGACGCCTTGAATCAGAGAGGGCAGTCATCCCACGATGTCGGTCCGGATGGCGAAGGCGACGCCAGCGTCATTCTTCCAGCCACAACCTATAATAGACAGAGCATTCAGAACTACTCTATGCAAAAAATATTACTTACATGGAGAGTAATTCGATTGGGTAATATCCCTGCACGCGATATACTTCAGCAATATGGGACAGAAAAGTTTCCCATGTATTCTTCAGGTCTGCGTTGCACAGTTCGAACCGCAGTTGGTAATGTACTTCGTCCCCGTGCACCCACACCACTCGGCCGGACACGGGCCTGTTTCACGTAGTTTCCTATTAAGGCAGCTCCAGTATGCTTCAATAGCATTTGCATGTCCGCCTGTAGTACAGTTAATGAAGTTGGTGGAGTGGCTGGCCGTTTATTGGTCGTATCTTTCTGTCCGGATGGGGTATATGCTTTCCACTCATTTTTTACGATCACACTACCTTTGGCGAACCATTTTATTACTACAGGTCTCAGTACTTGCCGGCTTCTATTAAGAACCTGTACAAAGACAGCTTTCTTCTGCTTGCTATCATACATTTCAAGCAACCAGAACTGTCTTCTCAGCCAGCCAACGTTGTACTTGCGGCGGCTTATCATCGTTTCATCTATTTGTACCTCCATACACGGGCCATCTAGTTGTCCGGTTTATTTTATGAGTGTCTTTAAACACACATTTCAGCAGATCAAGTACTATTCCACTGTCGTTGGGTGGGATACTCCTATTTCGTCAGAGCAATCCTTCACTCTTGTGCACCTTACAAATGCAAGGCAGATTCTCAGAATTTGTCTTATTGTTAATCGACTTTTTTCAAACACTGAACCTGTTCCTAGGGCTTTCTTCGAGCCACAACACTTACATCTGAAGAAGAAACCGTCCATGCGCCGCTTAAGGGTCTGTTGCCTCCTATGCCATCCGCAGTTGCACTTTAGAATAGTTGGTAGTAGTCCTCTACTTAGGCAATACTGCGCCAGTTAATTGGACTTGATTTATCGCATAATTTCATCTGTTGTGGTCGATAAATCACAACGCGACTGACTAGCTTTCCGATTTGGCCTGAACCGCTGGCCTACAAGCATCAATAAATTATATTTTCTATGGGACACTCCGCTATTTTGTCCTCGCTTTCATAGAAATATTTGTCACGGACACATAGACAGATCTATACCTGACATTCTTAATCATCACTACCATTCTGTTATCTACATATACCTAACTTTGTTTCATACCAAGCAAAATAAAATCGGTGTATTACTGGTATGTGGCACATAGTTTTGAATACTCAATTTAAAAACTTCGGCACGGACAGCAGTCATGAATCCAAAAAGACTCGGAATATTGGTAGACGGAATGCATACGTCTACCAGTAAAGCGGGAGTATTTAAATGCCCGTTAATTTGTTAAACAAGCGTAATTGTCAAAAGAAGACGAGGCGTTCGCCGGGAGCGGTTTGTTGTAGGCCCGACGTTTCGAGTAGTTGGTTCGTCTACCCATCTCCAGAGACTGGAAAGTCCTGCGCACAGCTCCCCATATAGGGCGCATTTTGTTCAATGCGTGACCCGCCAATGCCACCTGTGTGGCTGCATCCAACCAGCATGTCACCGTGACCTGTATCGCCCCCGTCGGCCGCGGAGATGACTGACGGCCCCGATTGTCCCGCGCCTTGACTGTCCCCCATTAAGAAGGTTCGTAAAGTCAGATAGGGGGGAGGCAAATTGATGTGGCGGTTGACAGAGCAGTCGATGGACATTCAGGCTTCTTGCACTTGCCTTGCTGTATGATCACCGCTCCGGCCTACAATCTCAACAGCCTCAAATTTGAAGATGTGTTCCATTTGTGCGGCATGGGTTTTTACCTCCGACTTTGGGTCCAACTTTCGCACAGCCAACTTATGCTCGTGCATCCGCGTTTGCACTCGTCGGCCGGTTTCCCCAACGTAGTTGAACCTTCCGCAGCTGCATGGAAATCGGTGAACAACGGCTGACATCTCCTGCTTAGGGATCCGATCTTTTGGTCGCATCACTTGCCGGCAGATTGTTGAGTCAGACCAGTGGGTAACACCTATTCCGAGTGGCGCGAGGGATCTAACCACGGCTTCGGAAAGCCCTTTAATGTACGGAATGCTCCAGCACGAGTTTGGCTGACTATGCTCTTCGTTCCGTTTCTTTGGCTGCCTTCGGCTCCGTTCAATGGATGCCCGCGGATAGCCTTCGGCTCTGAAGAGTTCTTGGAGGAGCTTTATCTTGTCCAGTGTGGCGGCTGGTGTGCTGCAATGAGTTTCCACTCGTCGGTATAGTGCGCAGAAGATGTCGGCCGTTGTTCACCGACTTCAAGGCGGCTGATTTCCGTTAACTATTGTACCGCAGACAAAGCTTCATGGCAGTTTTCGACTTTTTTCGATTTCTCTCCCCCCGCTTCCTCGCTGCTCGTTGTAGAACCCCAGCCATATAGCCCCTATCACTATGATTCCCGCAAGACACGGCCGACTGTTTACCATTTTCTTACCCCGCGCATATACTTAATCCTTGCCACAGTATACTCGCAGATGGCATTATTTCCGAGTGATTGTTTAGGGCACCTTTTCTAGCCCCTTCTCCTCGAGGTGGTAAGTAGTGCCACCGTAAAATAGGACTGCTCGGACATCCCAGAAGGCTGCCGAAGTCCACTGTGGGTCACGGCTTTGTTTAGTGAAAACGACCCCGGTTAGACTGGGCCACCTACGGGCTTGCATATTGTCCTCTTCGTAGGATTTTTGAGAATTTTGGAGTGGGGAAGGTGAGGTGGGAACGGTGTGGAGACACACAACATCAGATACCCTCATTTGGTTTAGACCAACGGTCGAGGCGGTTACCTAGGTGCGATCGCTAGTCAGAGCCTAGCTTCGGGGAACCGCAGATATGAATTGGGATGGTAGTTAAGGATCGTAAGGAGCAGCCACCATTTGCATGATGCGGTGAGCCACACCTACGTGGTTTACCCCTTAACTAGACACCCAGAAAATCCACTCACCGGCAAAGGCCGACCCGCTGAACGTGGGTTTGTAGAGCCATAGATGTGGGCTGGATGTCGGGAAGGGACGAAGCAGAAGTACTTACGAGGTCAGTCAGTGCATTCGGCGAGAACTGCCAGTGAACTGCTCATAGGTACTTCTTAGCACCCAAGTCCTTCGTGCCCTATCAGGTCCAGAAGGCGTCGTCTATAATGCATCCTTTGGAATGATAGTTGCCAGCAGCTCATGTGCGGCAGGGTGTAGATTTTCATTGAAAGGTCGTGCAACGTTCACCTTAATGCATAGACGAACGTGGAGTGATTGTGTAACCGCGTGGGTAGCCGCCTGGTGACACCCCGTACATGTGACATTGACAGTATCTTATCTGATAAGAACTTTACAGTTTGCATATGTCATTTTAAAGGTTTGCTGATGAATAATCGGGTACTTGCGTCGTCGATTTTAATGTTTCCCGAGTTTATATATGTGTTATCATACCTCTCGCTCTTGTTAAGAAACATGCTTTAATAGAGACTGCCCCATGTCTAGCCAATGGGTCTTGCTCAAATGTGCAGTAGGATCGGAATGACCATTTCTGCAATGCTTACCACAAAAGCCGGGTCATACCTTAATCCGTACGGCGGGCTGTATGGAATCTATAACTGAACTTCAGTACCAAACCGAGCTCTTGTGGTGCAGCAATCAGATATGACTGGCAAATTCCAATTAAAGTGACTTTCTCGCCAAATATATCAACAGCAACCTGATTTCTAGTGTTACTTTCATCCAAGTGCACGCCCAAATTCAGAGTTTGGATTCGTCTAATAGAACCTCTGAAAGAGCAAATTCTAGTGATAAGGCCTGACAAAACGCTATGCTCCAGAGTAAATCAGTCCTGCACAGGTGCCTAACCTCCTGACAAACCTTTCTTTTTGCCCTTCTTCAGCCAGGCAAGCGTGAGATATACACCGGAATACGTACTTTAGATTAGAATAAGAGTCCCGTTGGTAATCGCAGTAGTGATTGATGCTGTGGTGGCAGACATAGAACAGTAGGGAGCAGGTCTAAATAAAATGACTGCTTTGTTAATTCAGGCACGTCCAAATATCGGTGTCTGTGGGCGATCACACAGCTCTCCAATTACGTGAAAATGCAAAATCAGGTAAAATGTAATCATGTAGTCCCACCTGATGGACAGAATGCTGTTGGGGCTGGGGTCAGGGGTTTGGGTTAGAGACTAGGGGTTTGGATTAGGGGTTAGATTTAGGGGTTGGAGGCTAGATGTTAGGGTTAGGGCTAGGAGTTAGGGCAACCGCTTCGATACCACTGGAAGTACAACAGCGCATTACCACTAGCTTTTCTTTTGCACACAACTACTTGCCACCGTCGTTTGTGCGTTCCCCGGTCCCACCTGTAAAAAGGCCTGTTATCACCGGCCCCGTATTAGAGGTGACTGGGGTTTGTTTACCTCAGGTGGGGCTACATAACCACATTTGACCGCAAATCATACTACAGGTCGACCAATCGCCACAACGCCAATCACTTAGAAATAAGGGCCACTAACAAAACACAACGGTATCGACAAGGATGCCTGATTGAGGTTGGGCAGATGCCTAGACTTATAACGTAATGTTTACTCATGTTATTATCGACAAAGAATTAGATTAGAAACTCGACGTCCTCAAATACTTTCATGTTTGTCTGCGTGGCTTATTCATATTCGGCAAAAATAGTTCCGTAAAACGGTCAGGGATGTCTGTTCGTGCTGACGGATAAAAGAGATACAATAAACGGTTGCAGAGAGATAACAGTTGCGTCGTATATCAAGTAAACAATTGCCATTATGTATAATCCCAAGAAACTGAAAATTTGCCTCTGTGATAAACAACCACTGCCGGCCTGTCCGTCAGGACAATCCAAGCCATTCTGCCTGCATGTAGTCATGGATACTTTCCACCTCACTGAAGCCATATCTCCCTCTCTCTACGTTAGAAACACTCAAGCTTATCTAGTGTCGTGGCCTAAAGTGACTGTTTTAGATAAGCACTGCTTTATTTTGTGCAGTCACAAGTAGACAGGTCAACATTTGCTGGCCCTTGTGCTGCGCATGCATGACTCGTATAACCTCATCTCCTGCCTTCACCCTTAAATCCTGGAGCCGATATGCGACCGCCGGCGATACAGATACATGACGGTTGTCAAGATGGTTTTCCTCGAATTTAGATTCGCCAACTTTTTTCTGGCCAGTCGACACCATTGAGCTTAGGCCAGAAATCTGTCTGTGACGAAAAAGTTCCTCCCACATTACATGACTCACACCTATATTTTGCTACTTATCGTCAAAGTCAGTGAAAAGTTCAAGTGGAAAGTATAAAGTTTAAATTTAGAAGCTTCAAAAGAAGGATGCTTTTATTTTCTGAATTTGAACAGGGAAAGAGAGTATAAGGGGAGTTTGACATCTGTTTATATTCTGCGGGACCCAGGATTTTATGATGGCTTAATGAAATAGGGTATTTTTTGTTTGGCAGTATTTGGACGAACCGGTTAGCTAACACATATAACCACAACAGTCGTGGGATCAGGTTACGGCACACGCCGTATCGTTACGCCGTGAGACTCAATACAGAACCGCTGCACGCAGTAGTATAGACGTCACTATTGATGCAGAGCGAGTCCCGACAAAACACGGCATATAAGTCGTTGTTGTCGGCCAGCCGCACATCAGCTCAAGTTTGAATAGCCTAAGATTTAAATGCTGGCACGTTTAGTTTTTTGAGAGTGAGGTCTAACATTTTACCACTAACCCACGAGCCGGACGTACTGTTGGCTGCGAGCGGGCCAATTAACTGCTGTGGAAGGGTCAGTCACAGGACAAATTATGAAACGTAATTGAAGAAGGCCGGAAATGAAGGGAAGCCCGAGCGTACAAAAAAGTCAAGTTTTTCTGGCTTCGAATATACTCAACGGAAATAATGACCCAAGGAGAGATAGGCAAAAAGGATTTCCAAAACCATGCAAAGCAGAACAACAAGAGATAAGGAACAGGCAAGGGAGCAAAATTGATTTGTCGTGGCAAGCACGAGTAGCTAAGCGAAAGAGGGGGATAAATAGAACCGAACAGTCCACGAATTGTTATTTACCGGCCACCAGAATCAACGAAAAATGTTTACAGTTTCTCGTAGGCTTTGATATCACGCGCGAGCACAAAGGCCATGGCGGATGCGAAGAAGCTGAGGAGTGTAATGCCTATCAGACATCCTCCAATTGTCACCAGTTCGGCCGCAACTGTCTCTGCGACAGCTTCAGGACAACTCTAGAGCAAAAAACGGGGGAGAAATAGCAACAATCCGCTCAGCAGCACTACGGCAGAAAGATTGGTGCCATAAATTAGGTTTCAGAGTGTTTGGTCCTGATAGAACGAACTGACGAAGCATAATGTCAATAATTCATATTGACCCAACTGCGAAAAACTCCGCGTCTCGATGGGATTCGGACGCACAACAGTAAGAGGAAGGCTTTAGTACAGCCAACGCTCTATCCACCTGAGCTACGAGGTCCCGCCGGACGACGCGAGTTTAATCACATTTAGGTCAAGTTACCCGCCCAACCTACTGCAGCGTCTGGAATCCACCAAATCTGATACAGTAAGTTGACTGCTCAAGCAGGATTTCCTAAGTAATTCACCTAGAATCCACCAGATGGCTACCAGGCTCACGTAATTCGCTGATGTTTTAGCAAATTTTTGAATAATTCGGATCGTTCGGCGGGGCCTCGAAGCTCAGGTGGTTAGAGCGTTGATTACTGTCGTGGGTTCGAATTCCACCGAGACGCCGATTTTTTCATAACTGGGTCAATATGAAGTATTAAACAATCTGCCAGGACATCCATGAATAATGTAAATAGGATGGAGTTAAAACAGACACCAAAAAGACGGAGACTGCTGTATTTTCACCTCAACTAATCATTTTTGCCTACTTTTATGTCTCCTTTAGCCGAATACCCATGTCAGATCTAGCATTTAAGACCTCTATCATGCGAAGACGTCAAATCTCACCTGAAAATTCATAAGCGGGTGTTCAAATTTGAAAACTGAGGCGCATCTCATTATTTAAGTCGAAAAGCAGTATCATGTACCTCTGCGACGAAAATGCTATGCACCGATCTGGCTAGATCTAATCGGTTAACCATTTCAATTTTGCGAGTCCATTGGTCGTAATAATCTGAGCAATTTTCCACTCTCATTCAATCCACAGACTCACTAACCAACTGGCTTCGCAAAAGATAGTTAGGCCACCTTTAAATGCAGTTACTGAAGTGTTTGGTAGACTTTAGTTCCAAATACTAAAAATATCAGAATTGATGATGTCTTACCAGTCTGCCGCCCTCCTCTCTCAGACCGCTGATCTTACCGTGTTTACCATGGACAGCACTCGGTGAATAATCTGCTGCGGTGCAATCGAACTGAACGAGGAAGTAAACACGGTAAGGTAAGGTAAGGAGAAAACAATTGTTGGTGAAGTGGAAGATCACACAGTTAACTTACGGTAGATTCCAACCATTTAATGATAGCGGTCCATTTTTCGCTTCTCTCGTACTTAGTCATGTTTTCCTGCAAAGTAGCCCTAACAGCATCGTGGACGGCTTTGGGGATCTATGAGGAGGTTATGAGTGATTTGTTAGTGTATTAAATGAGAAGACAGACATAATCCCGTTCAACAAAGGTAAATATCAAAAGGACGAGTGTTGAGCAACCGATCAGCAGGACAGTAACCGCATACTAAAAGAAGAAGGAAGTAGATACATTGGAAGACGATTGCCTACCACAATGAGCACACTTGCGCTCGCCCGAAGTGCTCCAAATAGGCCTAAAAACGCAACCAACGCTATGAAGAAGCCAAGTACGATGGCTCCAGCGGCAACGCCGGTTGAAATCGTCATAATCTTAGCCTCGCTGATGCTTTCAAAAAGAACGAGATCGAGGATTCCCACTATGAAAATTGCCAGGCCAAATAGCTAAAACAGAAAGCGGTGGCGGTTAAATTCGAAAATTGCCTTTTATTTATCAAATATATGTTTTGATCATTATGTGCAAACATTAAAGCGTAAATTCTCAAGCTTATTATAAGCGACCTAGTTTTCTTTCTCTTCTTATCCTTTTTTGCGTATTTAAGCCAAATTACCCATTTTGTTTTGAACACTAGTCGTAGTAGGTTCGCATCCTGTTGGCTGAGCTCATTATTTGATATAACAACCTTTAAGCGACAAACACCCAAACTTTTGAAAGCGTTGGCATTTATTTCTGGAGAACAATAGATTTCAACTACGTCCACTAACAAGTACGACTGTTTACTTATACAATGGTTGTCCTTGTGGCTAAAATATAAAGTGTGTGGTGCATTGCAAGTATATTCGTATTACTGGAACCTTTTTGTTAGCTTGCAACGATGAAGCCAAGTTCGCAATCGTAGAACTTAGATTATTATGAAACCAATATGAGGTGCTAAAGAACTTAAGGTGACAAAACATGCCACGTAAGAATGATTCAATGACTTTTCTGGAATGAACAAGACCATAAAGGGCCAAATGGTACTATGGAAGGGCAACTTACAAGAGAGAGGATATTGCAAGCGACAATGACAAATTTAATGATTTTCGCAGTAGTTGACAGGCCCGCCATTATTTGGACTGGTCACGCCAAAATGATCTAGGCAACTCATGAGTCTACTTTTATATAGGTTTGCCATTACAGGGCAGGATTAGTTTTCTGAAAACATAGGGCGTCAACCGCTTGAGGATCGATTTGGGCATGAACGACATAAAATCTGTTTGGATATTCGAATAACGTCAGTCAAGACTATGGAAGTTCTTTTCAGCCAGGACAGCTAACGAATGCCAGTACGATCGCGGGAACGCCTACGCTAACCTGCTTTGCACCAAACTCTAAATGGAAAACCTCATAGTCACACATGGGTTAGTGCTGAAAGAGATCACTCCGTCTGCTTTATTATACAGTATTGAGTTTGTGACTTTTGACCAAGTGTCTGTCTTATGACATACTGTGTTTGCGGAAATGCCTGACTAGATGCCTATTATTTTTTTTAAATTTACCCTAATCACAGGGGACTCCGACACCTGTATCATCGACATTCATTAATCAAAAAGTAATATGGAGTAACGCAGAGTACACAAAAATTGCCGGATTGGTTAAAACCTGGAGCAGGGCGTGGTCTTAAGTCAACCATTTAAATAAATGAAGCTTTATCAGAGACCAATCTGCAAGAATTGCAGAAAAGTAATTCACCTCCAAGCTGACCAAATGTCCCAATAAATTTTATGAAATCGTGGTTCAACCAAATGCTTATACGAGAAAAAATACTTCATTGATAAGGAAATACGTTTGCGGGTTAAATGTTTGTCAGGTTTTCGGCTGTGTATTACAGTAGATTACGAACCAGATATTCTGAGAGTCTGGAATGGGTTAACGGCAGGAGGCAGAACCGACAGGAGCAAGAGAGACTGGATGGCAACTCGCTACGACACTACTTGTCATTGGTTTTCAAAGATGTGAAGTGACATGCCTCTAGTTTACCTGACAGCTCAACTGTCGTTTTCGACGACGTAGAGGCGGTGACTTGTGCGTGAATTAGTTTGCAGTGATAGTAGAATTGGACAGCATCGACGGCACTCTTTCCTCCTTCTTCACTGGCCCAGTATTAATACATAGTTAAGGAGACCGGTGGTTGGGAAGAGCGCAGGTAGCTGACATCCCCAGGTGTGCCGCCACACCCGACTTGGATCCTGTCATAAAGGCCATATGATGAGAGAGCCATTGCAGCCTAACTCTTAGTCCACCAGCCGACTACTCCACACGACCAAACACACTGGGCCGACTGCGAGGTCAGAGTTATACTGTTAGCTGGCAACTTTCTAAGCCACAGCTTCTGGCGTACGTCATAGCCTCAAGCGCGGTAGATTGTTTGTAGTGAGGAAAGTGCTCTGAGTCGTCAACCTCACTCTCTTTTCCTATTTCCAGGCCCCAGCCACCCTCCAAGTCGGTCGGTTGTCTGGTGAGGGGAATGGGCGCATCTGGCTTACTTAATATCCTATTCGCTAACTTAAAATTTTAGAATATGGATCAATATTACGCCTTGGGAAATTTATGTTTAGGAAAAAGGTGGTTTAGCGTGTCCCATGGTGTCTTAGAAACGGTGCAACATTTCTGCAACGTAGCTGTTCACAGCATCTAACATAAGTAACTAGTTAACGAAGGGTAAATTGGGATCGATGCTGATCTTCAATGATGTCCCCGCCGAGTGGACGATAAATGGCGACCTTGAGATTACGGCTGATAGATAGAACAGGTCCTTGGCTGTATCTGAAACCATCGGTGACAGTACAGGTGACTATGGTAAAACGTTCTTCAAACATCATCGGAGCCACTGTAAGGAAACAGAAGACAAAGCGCGACAGACGCACTATCTTAAGAATTTCTAAGCAAAACGGTTATCTAAGAGCCTTGAGAACCCAACACTCTCGCTTCCGCCCCAGAGAACCCGGACGGAAAGTCAGCCGATGATGTGGTGTGATACGCAAGCCATAAAAGTTGTCTCACAGGCGAATGGATACACAGTAGTTTGACTGGCTTTGAACATTTTAAGCTAGCACTAATTATGCCGATCAAAGACCGAATAGTCCCAGCGAGCAGGCCGATGGTATGTATCACAAATCTTGTCTTAATCAACTTTGTAACCAAACAACTAGGGCTGGATGAAAGCTGGCATCTGGCAGATCTGAAAATAAACTGCCTGCGTGAAGAGGGTCCAATTATCCTGAGATATTTCCAACAACTTTAAAACGGCTCACGAGCTCAAGTTCGCAATTCATTAGGTAACAAAACAGGCCAGAAGAAATACAACTAAGGTTAATGAAGGCGTGGACGCTGATTTGTCGTTCGCTCTGTTCCTGCTGTCATGTCGAAAAATAAGCCGTTTCATTACGAAAGTTCGGCTGTGCGACCAATCTCATACAGCAGGTGTGCCAACTCATGAATGGTCGACCGAAATTCTAAAAGGCGTTTTCGTTTCGAAGAGATTTCTTAAGAAGCGTAAAATTAATCATCACGCAGCATAATTATATAATAATTCAGTTGCCTCGGGATGCCGGCTTTCTAACAAAATTCCTTTCTGAAGCATGCAAAAAAATGCACTCTGAAAAAATGACTGCTTATGCAGCATGCATATTCTCATTGATTTTCGACGCCCTTAAAAGTCTAATTATATTTTGTGGAAGGCATGCATAAAAATATTCATTCTTTCACTCACTCAGTAGAAAATTACGTCTTCTTCCAATTTTCTACTCAGAGGAAGGGTATAATGCGGTCTTAAAAGTTTTTTGATTGTAAGATTTTAAATACCTTGAAAAGCCCTTCCATAAATCATCGTGTCTCCGCATTTGCTAGTGTGGCTTGTAAAGCTTACAGTAGGACTTAAATCCACTGTTAAGTTTTATGAACACCATATATTCCGCTCTCAATAGCATGGAGAAATATACGGTTTTCCATACGCAGAAAGTGTATGGCTTGTAGTTTGAAAACTCTGAATTCAAGTGCAACGGCAGGTCGGGGTTCAAAATCATTAGGGAGTTTGAAAAGTTCTTGAAAACTGAACTATACACTTCCTTCAGCTATCAAATTGGAAGAAGACGTCATTTTATACTGAATGAGCAGGAGCATGAATATTTGTATGTATGTTCTTCATGAAGTATAATTGAATCTTTAAAGGCATCGAAAATCAATGAGAAAATTATGCTGCTTAAGTAGTCCTTTTTCAAAGTATGGTTTTTGCATGTGGCCAAAAAGAAGTCCTTTCAAAAGCCGGCATTCTGAGGTAACTGCATTATTATATAATTATGCTGCACGATAATTAATTGCACAACCCCAATTTTCGAAGTGAAGTCGTATTTCAGAATTTTGGTTAACATTTCATGCGTTAGCACACCTACTGCACTTTTTTATTTGATATAACATCTAGATGCACTTAGTAGACGAGAGTTCAAAAGGAAAAAAAACAAAATTAAACTTTCAGGAGGGAAAGTGTAACAATGTGAGAATCAGCTTTGAATATCATCTAAGCCGCCATTGAGATTAAGTCAGTTGGGAATTAGGAAGTTCAAAACCACAAACGTCAACGGGCGACTTTTATTTCCCCGTGGTTCAATTAAATGCATTGAATATCAAATTCTGTCACTTTACGTTGAGATCAACTGAACCTTCATGAAGAAAAATAAAAATCCTGGACAATTTCCTTTCCCCTCTCTTTAGCGAAAGGTCGTGCTCAGGGTCAACAGATAAAGGTGCGATCGCCGAAACAAGAATTTTAATCGCTAGACATTTTGGATTTACACTCGTACTCGTCATTAGAGGCAGTCGCAGACAGGGATGGGGAATGCATGGGATGTAACATTTATGTAACAACATGCCTATCATAATTAGCAGCTGCTCTCTTCATCAACAGGGGTTCTATCTTATGCGATGGTTGCTTCTCCTTCCGCAGTCGAGTCGTTAATTGCCATAATTGCATCACCATCCTTGGTTTACGGCGAGATGCTTACCCAGCATTTTGGCCCCTCAATACGGTTAGTGTCAGTAGTATCCGCCCGAACCCTCCATGAGAGGACAGTTACTCTGTTTAAACAAAGTTCCAGAACAAAAATACTGAGGTGGGAGTTCACTAGTTGATGACCTCCCATAGCAATAAGTAAGTATTTGCTCGCCCATGGCGGAATTTTGCTGTGATAACGGTGGTGTTAAAACGCCTTCGAGCGACCAGTTTGTGTGCTATGACCAAAAAGTTAAATGACATGAAGCGTTTTTAGTCTTCTTAATTTTTCTCCTACACATAATTGTTATCGTAGGGGAAACATAATTTACCGAGTGTTAGGGGCGTCAACCCCATACGATCGATTCGTATCTAAACGACGTCACAGTTCGTTAAGGTAGGTAAGAGCAACCAATCAAGCCTATGCACGTTTTCTCGAGTTGGGACGGACTTGAAATACCAGTCCAACCCTCGGGAACTCCAACAACAACTTGTTTTTTCCATTAATGGCTGCTTGAAAAAATCTTTAGTCCTCTTTGGATTGGCAGACAACGCAGACTTGTCTTCTCGATTTCGTATTAGAATTTAACCTGAGGCCAAAGCACAAATTTCCTGACCACTTTTTATAATCCCTGACCGACGAAAAAGGATCAGAGTAGACGGCCTATTCGAGAGTCTAAATTAGTCGAAGTAATTTCGCAAGAGTCATGCCAATGGTCCACTATAAGCGATAAAACAAACGAAAGATTTCAATGTATGTGGGAATCGTGAGTAGTTAGAACGGTATAGCCTGCCTTCAACTAGCCTGCCAGGTCCTGGTTGGAGTAAAAAACGTGTTCAAATGGACTACTTATCTGATTGGCGGTCATAAGTCCAGCAATTTTGCAAGAAATATTTTACATTCAGCACTGAAAAACACTTGCGAAATCCTGTTTTAACAATCACGAAAACATAAGCATCTCATCTACATAGCCACCAACATCATTATTAGTTCTTATTAGGCACTCTGGTTACTTGGACAGTACTAAATGGATCGTTTGTGCAAACGATAAAACTCGCCCTTATATGACATGCTCTGAAA